GCCCCCCCCCCGTTTTTTTGGGGTTCTACTGAGTGTCCCTCACCCCTCCTCTTTCGACTCGATTGTTTTATGTTATGTTAATTCTTTGTTGTGTCTCTCGGTCACGATGTCCGCGCTACAACGGATGCAGTGCCTGGACTGCGACTTCCGACTTGGACGGGTGCCCGCTAGAGACTGGCCTGCGGGCTCCCAGAGGCCAGTCGTCAAGTTCCGCGCGGAGTTCCCGCGTACAGGTTGGTCAAATCAAGTGGTTCCCTCCAGGAGGTGTAGGCTTGTCTCTGGTGTTTGCGAATGTACACTTCTCAGCAATATAAGCAACAACTGCCTGCGTTTTTCTACCCAGAGGTTGGCTTTCGACGGTCCGCCTGGCGTCTGACTCTTTGTTGTTTTTTCGTTTTTCTCTCGCAGTAAGCGAGGATCGTGGCTACACATGGACCCCCGAAAACCTCGACCCTGAGCTACCGCAGCGCGACACATGGATAGACAGCAAATGGAGAGAGGACATGGTGCTGGGATACATTCCTCAGGTATGATAGGCAATGGTAGCCATGTTCACAGGCTCTTGCCCACGGTGTCCCATGAACTCAATGCTCCTGCTGACATAGGGCGCAAGTCTCTTGCTTCGTTTCCGTCTGGAGAGGTACAACGGTCAAACAGATGACGGTCTTCTCCGAAAGGCGGCATCGTAATCGCGCTTGTTTGTGTCACGAAACGCGGGCCTAGGCCAACCCGTAGTTGAATATCACTACATGCCGTTTTTACTACGCCATGCCGAGCTGGGTGTTCTCAAGTACCAGGCATGTCTTATTTGGGAAGTTATTTTTGAAGACCGTGACGTTTACTAACGGGGACAAGGTAGCGTTCGGCTGGAGGAGCTTGTGCTTTGCTCATGTTCGCTCGAAGGAGTTAGGTCACAGAAGGTGGAAATGCACCGTACCAAAGCGACCGCCCCCCGAACACATGGCGGGCATGAACGTCGGAGAACAACAAATGATTGAGAATTTTCCTTTTGGCATGCCGCTGCTCCCCTTCTCCGGCTGTTTGTGCCATGAAGGTCAACCACACGTTTGCGTACCTTGAAGGTCTCTACGCGATCATCAACGAGAAGCAGGTGGGGGGCTTCCGATAGGTCTTTGTGCTCTTTGTTTGTTCTTTCGCCCAAACTGCTGTTGGTAGCTCATGATGGCTTTCGTGCTCTAGAGTTGTGCTCGCCATGTTGTTGTTGTTATTGTTGCATGGTCCTCATGTGTTGTATGGCTTGATACAATTTTGCTTTCTATAGTTCTACTTGTTTGTTTTGTTTTGTCGTGTCCCGAACATCATCGTAGAAAGCTCCCGCCCCCATACGAAACCACACGCTCTTGACCCTTGGAATGGTCGTGCTGCTATCGGTCTTGTGCTGCCTCGAAGCCTTTCTCCTTGCCTCGTTCTTTACTTCCCAATCCCACTTGCTTCTCTCTCTCCTTCTATCTTTCTCTCGCTCTCTCTCTGTCTCCTCCCCTCTTTTTCAATCTCGCTCTGTCCTCCTCGCCTAATCTCTTCCTAGGTCGCGATTGGAGAGTCTACGTGCGGCGCGAAGTGGTTTGCAGGTCCCTTGAGTGACGACTGCGATGAGTGCAATTCCTTGTTCGACATCTCGGAGCTCAGCCGCGTCGCTCTTGAACGCGCGTCAACCGCCCGGTATGTAGCAGGCTTCTCACTAACGTCCGTCGATGGAGGAGGAGGGGTGGGGATTTGTAGCCATTTGGTAACTCCCAGCTACATGTGGGGAAATGCGGGTATCGCTATCGAAAACAACACGAATGGCGCGAAGAGCTGGATTATTACCAGCATCTGGTCATTACAATAGCAACCGGACGGAGGCAGGGCTAACGTTGACATGGAGAAGCCAATGTGTCTAAATATGTGCGTTTCTACCAGGGTGTGTTTCTGCTAACTTCAGGAAGCCTACGTACTTTAGGAGGCCGGTTCTCACGATGCGAAGTACTTCTTTTAGATACGTATTAATGGGACGGGTCTGCCGACATCGAGTGAGTGTTTTGCTCAAATGCCTGTTCATGTAGCGCTCAGATCTCTATCTGGTACTCATGACGGCAACAACCTACGCAACTTGTATATTTTTCATCGAATTCCCTTGGGACTCGGCGAGTTTGGAGCGTTGTGTGTTACCATATGTGCGCGCGGTTTGTCCTGAGGCCTCGTGTTTTGGGCACACATGTCGTGTCCCCTCACGTGCTTCCATCGCTGCAGGGAAGCCATACAGATCATGGGAGACCTTGCCGTGGAGTACGGCTTCTACGGAAGCGAGTGGGACTCAAGCGACCCCATCACCTACGAGGAGGTGCGTGAAACTGGACTAATGAAGCAGACAGACAAAAGAACAGCAACACCAAGCTCCGCTTTATCTTTGGTCGTCGTGAGTGTTTGGCAGACGGCTTGTGCCAACGGGGTAAATAGTCGAAAGTTGCCAACGGAGTACAGAGCATAGGCGTTGTGGAAGTGTGTTTGACGAGGGCGTCTGCGTCGCCGCGTGCGACCACACGCGCACGAAGGGCTGCAAGATTTGTAAAGAAAGACTACAAAACGACAATAGATCCGCATCTCTGCAACTGCTCAATCGCGTTGTCTGAGTTGGGGGTCCCACACTGGCCTCGAGAAAAGAGCATGGTCTGCGGACCTTGTGCCACTCTTTCGTGCAATCCCTTTTTCGGCGCCGGCTGGTGCTGGCCAGATAGCATTGCTCTTGTTGGACGCTACCACCGCGTTGCTAACGCATACGGTACCACTTTAGCGTCCATTGTACTTGTGGGTGTGCTGCTGTACCTCTGCTGTACGCGTGTGTGTGTGTTTTTTTTTTTTTTTTTTTTTTTTTTTTTTTTT